CAGTGCTAAAACAGTTTTCCAATCCATATTATAGAAAAATTGGGCCTGGAAATCAATATCATAGAGAACCCTTAACAGCCTGAACTTCAATAGATGTATATGGTAGAGAACAAAAACTATTGGGTTAAGTCATACGTTTAAATGTTTGTTTTTATTCTGTTTTGGTTTATAACATATTTATTAGTAAACCACCCTGAGCACTTGCTTGAAGGTTGAAGGGGTAGACAGACGTTTTAGAAATGTAAATTAATAAAATGTAACCATTAGGGACGCGGATGGTGCTGTGGTCTAAACCACAGAACCTAGGGCTTGCTGATCAGAAGGTCGGCGGTTCGAATCCCCGCGACGGGGTGAGCTCCCATTGCTTGGTCCCTGCTCCTGCCAACCTAGCAGTTCAAAAGCACATCAAAGTGCAAGTAGATAAATAGGTACCGCTCCGGTGGGAAGGTAAACGGCGTTTCCATGTGCTGCTCTGGTTCGCCAGAAGCGGCTTAGTCATGCTGGCCACATGACCTGAAACTGTACGCCGGCTCCCTCGGCCAATAAAGCGAGATGAGCACCGCAACCCCAGAGTTGTCCACAACTGGACCTAATGGTCAGGGGTCCCTTTACCTTTACCTAACCATTAGCTTAGTTCAGTGGTAAAGCATCTCTACTTTGCTTGCAGAGGGTCCTTGTCACCACCTTTTAAAATGGATCTCCAGTGACTGGGATGGGAAAGACTTCTACCTAAAATTCAGCAGAGTTAAAAATGTTAGAATTAGGATGAGGCATGTACACACACACACACACACACACACACACCATATTTGAAATATATAGTTTGTGCATGTAATTCTTTTTTATGCTTGAAGATTATAGATTGGCACTCTGATCCCAACTAAGTTCTTGCAGGATCAGACCCAAATGTAAGTTAAGCTGCACCTGTATTTACAAGCTGTATCTATTGAAGCATTTTAAATGACCAACATGATGTTTTTTCACCTGGTCTGATTATTCTGGTATGCAGATTCTGGAATGCTGCTATTTCTCCTGGCACAGGATCACGAGCATTGTGGAGGCAGCATTCTTGGGTTTGTTGTACCAGGTCAATTACAGGTCACAAAAATGTTCTTCCAAGAATTTGATGGACCATTAGGGTCCGTCAAAGATCCAGGAGAGTTTTAAAATAATATATAGAGGTATAGAAAATGGGACTGTTCTTTTGGAGACTTACGAACTATTCTGGGGAGAAATGGATAAAAAAAAAGGATAACAACATTTTATAATGTCTAAGATTCTGGTTCAAATATAAAAATGATGTCTATGTTTCTTGAAGCTTTGATAATCCTGACTTTGAGACACTCTCCTGAGTCATTGAATTCTAGATAGGTAATTTTTATGGTCCATTTTTAAATGATGTATTACACAGCTGAGCAGAGGCCCAGCAAAACTATGCAGTTTATAAAGAGGATGTGAAAATAGCCTAAATTCCAGTAAACACGAAGGTCATTGTTTATGGCTGGGAAAGATCTGAAGAGTTTTGTCATGTATTTCCTGGTAGCTGCTAAAATTGAGCCAAGACTAACTTCTTTTTCCAAAAAGTTGAAAGTTAGAATCCTGGGTTACTTTTCCTAATGAGTTAACAAGAACTCACTGGATATATCATGACACATCTCCATTTTAATAAGCATATCCATAACTGATATTTTAGCTCTGAAGGACAATAGACACTGAATTCAATCACGAGCACACTGCCTTAATAATCTCCAATATAACATCAGGTTTTAATAAGCCTCCTGTTTGCAAGCACACATGTGCTTAAGACTGCCTGGAAACCAAATCAGCAGAGAGAAGGGATTACTTTAGATTACCCTGAAATATGCATTGTTTGAAATGGCCTCTGGTGACCAGCTTTCATGAATGGCTGATTTTACTTGTGGGGCACGTCATCTGGCTTAATTATATCAACATCCTTTTGTGTGGCAAGTGCAATTCTCAGCGAGTTGAAATATGAACCTCTAAAACAAAGCAAATTGGACAGCGAGAAAACAAAGTTAGGCAAAGTGTGTTAAAAGCTCACATCAGAGTTGTTTGTAAAAGCTCTCCTTTCTGCTGAAAGATGTATTAGAACTTTCTCTTGGATTATTTCATGTCACATATGGTTAATATAAACCTAAAGCTTGTTACACTTAAACTCTTGATGAGGCCTATAAACTAACTGGCACAGAAAAGTGGTCTTAATCCAGCCGCTTTGAATATTTCTTTGCTCCCATGCAGAAATAAGGTACAGTCCAGATTTGATTTATAGGTGTAATTTTAGTCATCATGGTTGAAAATTATGTACTTCTAGGTCTTTTGGAAATTTGGAGATCACGTGCAATAATCTTAACAACACTTAAACACTTTTTAAAAAAATTAAGAAACCCTTGCCTTACAGTAATTTTTATTATCTCCAGCTCCAGTCATACCTACTCTTGGGCAGTGATGTGTGGGGCAATTTTCCCCAATATCCCCCCCCCCAATTTTGTAAGGTCATTAGTAACAATGCATGAAAGCCAAACTGCAAATATGATATTATGCAAGCTTGGCTGTTTTAAATTTGTAGCTTTGTTCACTAAATGCAAATAAACATGCTAAATTAGATCACTTTCTAGGCCATTTCGGGGGGGGGGGGAACCTGATGCAAACTAAAAATTATTGCAATTTTCCCAGGGGGGAAATCCAGAAAATATTCCTATTCTAAAATTCTTAAGGAAATCTACATCACTGCCATTTGTCAGAGTGAAGTGGACACTTTGAGTGCCATGAAAGGGCAGCAAATGGTTGGTCATATAATTTATTATTGTTGTGTTTTTACTGCCACTCACAGGGAGGGGTGCTTGTGAGATCGTCAGAGGAGGGTCCAGGAGGGCCAATTGACCTGGTTCCACTCAAACAAAGCAGATTGGAGGTCCAGATAAGCATAGTCAGGCAATACAGAGTCCAGCAAGGCAAATAAGCAAAGTGGGCAGGACCCTGGATAGCTCTGAGTAGGGTGTAGGCTGGAAGACAAGACAGGCTTACATGCTGCTGGTAAAGGTAAAGGTACCCCTGCCCGTACGGGCCAGTCATGACCGACTCTAGGGTTGCGCGCTCATCTCACTCAAGAGGCCGGGAGCCGGCGCCGTCCGAAGACACTTCCAGGTCACGTGGCCAGCGTGACGAAGCTGCAGCTGGCGAGCCAGCACCAGCGCCGCACACGGAAACGCCGTTTACCTTCCCGCTATAAAGCGGTACCTATTTATCTGCTTGTACTTAGGGTGCTTTTGAACTGCTAGGTGGGCAGGAGCTGGGACTGAACGACGGGAGCTCACCCCGCCATGGGGATTCGAACCGCCGACCTTACGATCAGCAAGTCCTAGGCACTGAGGTTTTACCCACAGCGCCACCCCGCTACATGCTGCTGTAGCAACCAGCAAACTTAGACTGAGCCTCTGCTTCTATCTTGCCTCCACTCCATTGTCTCTGGAAGTCTTCAGGCTAGAGATTTACTGGCATCATGGGCTCTTTTGGTGAGGGAACACCCAATGAGGCATAGAAATCAATGGCTGATTCTGAGGGCCAATCTGTCTCCCAGTCCATTAAGGCTTCTGTATTTATGGCCTCTTCTCCTGAGAGTGAGGAGTCAGAGCCCTGGTTCATGACACCACGTGAGGAGGAGAATGCCTGCAGCAATTCCCATGATCACAGTGATCGGCAAAAGAATTTCTGTCGCCGTGGAAATTACGCCTTGCTTAAACTGTGGCTGCCACCTTCATATTTATGTGGACTTAATCTGAAGGTACGCGCCCTTCTTTTAGTAAGAAGGCTCTCTTATTCATGGAAGGACTGTTTCCAAGTGGAAGATGTTGTGTGAGGAAAAGCATTCCAAATCTAGAGGAAGCTCCCTGTTTGTGCAAAGTCCTTTGTAAGACATTGTAAGAGCTTATTTTCAAGTCCAATAAGCTACACATGGCAGGCTGTAATTTCCTTATTTGGTTTCCTATACTGTAATGCAGCCCCTACTGTCTTTTAGTTGCTGGGCCCATGGAACAACACTAATTCATTTTCTCCTTCCGTTCATGGTTCTTTGGATCCGAGCCTAAATTTGTGAGTAAGTAATTTCTTTACTCCTATGAATATTTCCCAGGAGCTGGTTGGGAATGAAGACATGGGCAAAACCAGCCCAATGGAATGAACTAGTTTCCTTCAATTTTAAAACAATTGGCAGTTTTTGACTAGTTTAAGTTGCTGCTTAGCATATACACAACTGTTATTGTGGATTAAAACGTGTGTTACATTTTTGTGCCTATGCAGGAATGTATGCTTGCATAAAAGTTTATGCAGAAATCCCCTGATTGTACTTTGTTTGTTAAATTACAACGTACTTTTTATGAGGTTACAAATCCCTATGCCTGCAGTTAGACTAAATTATAGTTGGTGGGTATGATAATTTATCCCCCAGCATGGGTTAAACATCATAATTGCAGGCAGATTATATTTAGAGGTGAGCAAATAATTCTGATTGACTGATAAATCTTTTGTAGATCAGACAGATAAATGCTAGGCCCAGATATTTAATGGCATTCTTTATATTCAGTATAAATCCAGTGCTTTACAACTAAGATTAATGGATTAACCTTTAAGAGGAGGCAGTAGATCCTGCTGTTCTCGGCTTGCTGTACTGTAAATGCATTTTCCATGCTGAGAGGCTTGCTTTCCCATAGGAAACTGGACTGCTAGCCCTGATTTTCTGAAATGATTGTTATGCTTGTTTTCCTGCAATATAAGTGCAGTGTTTGAAAAATACCGTTGCCTGCTTTTAAACCCTTTTTCTCAGGGACTCTAATAAAACCCTGAAATTGAGTATGTGTGAAAACTAGCATTTTTCAACTGTCATGTGCTTTTAGAAGAAAAATTCACCTTAACTTTTAATTTGTTTTTGACCAAAATTCTACAGTAAATTTCATGTGACGACTTCTTATAGATCTTACCAGGGCCAGCCTGGATAGCTCCGTTGGTTAGAGCCTGGTGCTGATAATGCCATGGTTGCAGGTTCAATCCCTATGCAGCTGAATATTCCTGCATAGGCAATCCTCGGGATCCCTTCCACCTCTAGACCAGCCTTTCTCAACCTGTGGGTCCCCAGATGTTGTTGAACTACAACTCCCATCACCCCTAGCTAGCAAGGCCAGAACTCAGGGATGATGGGAGTTGTAGTCCAACAACATCTGGGGACCCACAGGTTGAGAACCGCTGGACTAGACGATCCTCAGGATCCCTTCCAGCTCTATGATTCTAGGGTGACAAAAAAGATGATAAAGCAGGATGCAGATTTAGTGATAACAATGAGCAAATGCTAATGTTTAGAATATATGCATGTTTAGAAATGATCCCTGCAATTTCAAATAGAATTTATTTATTTATTTACTGAATTAATATACCGCCCTATACCTGGGGGTCTCAGTGCAATGCATCTCACCATAATAAGGAACTCTGTGACAAAGTGAACTCTTTTGTCTTTCTATTTAAACTTGGACTGAGACTGGATAATCATTCAAAAAGCCCACTCTTTCAGATACATAACACAGGGCATATGGTCACCCTAAAACTTACATTTCCAGGACTGCTAATTAAATGGGCTACCCAAACTCAAAAGCACACCTGTTCAAATACAGTGGCATTTCATTCTCTCTCTGATACATATACTGAAGATCAGTGGAAACGATGTGTGTGAATTGAGCAGGATAAATCAGAATTTCATCACCACCACATGCACACCAATCCTGAAGCTTCTGTATTTGTAACTCGCCAACATTTTCAACATAAGGAATGTCAAAATTGTTCATTGGCAATTATTAGGTCGGTACACTAGTTGTCTAAAGATGGATTGGTTGATTAACTAGTGGGAGCTAATTTTAATCTCTAAATTGAAGGTATGGGGTTTCCGTGTCTTCTTACTATTTTGGTTCTGTCAGGGAACTGCCATCGGAGCTAGAGGTGGAGGAAGGCTCCAAAGGGATGCAGGAGAGGGTCCCAGTAGGGAGAGAGGCAGCCCATCTGCTGGGGAAGGAAATCAGCGTAACACCAGTGGAGAAGAGGGGCAGGTGGGGGAATCGGGGAGGAGGCTCCAAGACTCGTCGCTGGAGACCAGCGGAGAGAGTACGGGTACTCCGCTGCCCACACCCTCCCTGCGCAGAAGACTTCCGCGCAGGGAGAGTAGGAGGAGACTTGGCGTCAAACAACTTTTATGCTGGAAAAGGTTTAAGAAACGCCCACTGGCGAGTTCTGCCAGCGACTGATACAGTCACGATGCTGGAGGCTGTTCAGTCAGAAAGGGTTAACCAGGTAACCTAGCCAGGAGTGGCGGCAACTTACGCACGAGCAACCCCTAAACCCATTACAGGTTCTGATGGAAAAATTCTCTTTCAAGAAAGGGTTTGTTTTATTAATCTGTAAGTTGCTTTGCATTTCTTCCCATAATTTAAGGCACTTAAGACTCAAGTTAGCGCCAAAAAGGGAGTGGCCTGATCTTTGTTTAATTCTTGCTAGTTTATGGTCAGTTTGGAAGTGCATTATTCCAATTCTGCAGGCAGATCACAGCCAACTTGTAAGGAAACATTATCAAAAAATGCTTGTCATATTCACCTTTTGCATAAGTCTGATGGTGTTGATTTTGTTATGGCTTTCCAATGAACAGTAGATAGGTGGTTGCTGTAAAGTGGTACCTCGGGTTACATATGCTTCAGGTTACAGACTCCACTAACCCAGAAATAGTACCGCAGGTTAAGAACTTTGCTTCAGGATGAGAACAGAAATCGTGCTCTGGCGGCGCAGCAGCAGCAGGAGGCCCCACTAGCTAAAGTGGTGCTTCAGGTTAAGAACAGTTTCACGTTACCACAGGTACCACTGTATTTGCAATTTGTGGGTTGTGTCCTACTCCATCAGGTTTGCACTTTTCATAGTTCCTCTAGAAGATCTTGAGTCTTTGGTGACATCTGTGGTCAAAAGTGGCTTTTTCCAGGTTCGCTGGGTGCACAAACTACAGCTTCTCTTAACCTATGGAGATTGGGATTTGGGGATACATGGTCCAATAACTTCCACATTCAAATACTGCAGTATGCTCTATAGTGTTGGTGCCTGAAAAGTGTTTAAAACTTGCAGCTGAGGATTCTCACGAGTAGCTGGGCATCTCAGCCTCTGTTTAAAAGCTTGGTGGATAGGTGGGAAAACTTGTTGGAACAACTTTGCAGCTCCTGTGGAGTCTTGCAATGCTTGTTCCTGATCTTCAACTTGTGAACCCTGGCCCTGCTTCCTAGATTGGACTTGTTCCTGCTAGCCCTTAGCCTTGTAAGAGCTCTGTACTGTTCTGGTCTCTTTCCATGTCTGTACAGTTAATGTGCTTTAATAAAGCATCACTTCATCACTTAGAAGTCAGTGCACCTGCTGTCATGTTTTGGGACACTTTGGACTAAATGGCACCACAGCATTTTAACTCCACATACGCTATTAATTGGAAGGGTCAGAAGTGTGGTGCAAGAAGTGAAGTTTGTCTTTTTCTTAGTGTGTTCCAGATTTTTGTTTTTTAATCACTTATGCCAAAAGCTGCTATTTGTATTGGAAGGGAAACTCCCATGGGCTTTCAGCCCAGCTTGAGGTGGGGATTTTTGACAAGATTGTGGTGGAGAAAGTGTTATTTCTCTCCACCTGCTGACATCTTGGTGCTGCTTAGTGGCTATTTACGTTTTGGAGGAACATACACATCAGTTGTTGACATGCATCTAATGTCATAGCCATGTCTACATTGGTCCTTAGAGTTGTTGCGTTGTCAATGGATTGTACTAGAGCACAAATTTCCCTGTGTGCTTCCCTAGTGGAATGAAAGCAGTCCAAAAGTCGCAGACAATGCTGCTTCCAAAGTAAAGCACTTCAGAGAGTAGTGTGTCCAGATCCAAAAGCTGTACATGAAGGGAGGTTGTAACGATGTTATTTGGAGAGACAGATGTAACACCCAAGCTAAAGACTTTGGTCATCACTGGCCTAGACCAATCATGCCCACGTGCATACATATTGAATAAAGTGCAATCTTTTGCATGTGGTGTAAAAACCGGAAACACTGTAAACACGATACACACTGTAATGGATCACAGAATGTCAAGCAGGCTGAGCAGTCTCTTTGTGCAGTTTTCCTTTGATAAATGGGATTTGCAGTTTTATAGCTCCATGTAACTTTTGCTGTAAAGTTGATTTCTTGTAGGATCAGAATATATATGGAAAAGGGGTACATTTGAAATTCATCTCCTCTGATTCCATCTAGGAGACCTGATTACATGCCTGTCTGTACAAAAATATATTTATACCTTCTCCAAGTAGCTTATTTTTCACTTGCAGTCAATATGCTTTCATTTACCTTATGGAAGAAAGGCAACTTGTAGTCTCTTCTTGATCCTTGGACACTGCACAATGCCTTACCTTCACTTGCCATGTGTGAAGAACAAGGCCTCTCTTTAATTTTTCTTGCTTTTGACTGTTTCTCAAAGACAAATTGCAGTGTCTCTGAGGACACTTGTAGACTAGAGCAAAGTAGCCAACACAAACACTACAGTACGTTCTTGTATCCCCACTGAAGCCCTAGATTTTGCAGGGGTGTTTCGTTGCTTCATTTCCTTCAGGAGCTAGAAGCCGGGCAGTGAGAGGATGGCAGCTTTTAAAAAGGTTGCCTTTGAATAAATAAGTGCTTGTGCAAGGGGGACCTGGTAATGCACGTAGTGAGTAGTTGGGATTGCTGAGCCCTCCAAGCCCTTTTCAGATAACTAATAGGGAAATGAATGCACAAGGGCATAGGGAAGTACACATAATATATGATACCTGAGCATTGCTCTGCATCATCAGGAGCCATACCTATTCAGATTCCCTGGTTGCACAAGAGGTGTCTAATCATGTAGAATATATTTAGAGCAGGAGCAGCCTGCCACCATGATTCTTCCCCCCTCACACACATGTATTACATTTATATCATATTAACATAGGAGGCTGCCTTAACTTAAATAAGGCCAAAGGGCCATTTAGCTCTGTTCACACCTGCAGTGGCTTTCCAAGGTGTCATACAGGGGACATTCTCGCCTCTACCTGGAGATGCTAGGGAGTGTACCTGGGACTTCCTAAATGCAAGGTGGATACTCTTCTACTGAGCTGCTGTTCTTCCCCATCTTTTCTCCAGAGAAATAAAGGTGGCTTGATTGCCACCTTGCTTATCCCATTTTATTCCCGTAACAATGTTAACGTAAATTGGAATAGAGTATAGGGATTGGGTCACCCAATGATTTTAATGGTATGATTGGTTTTTTAACCTAGGTCTTGACAGGTTTCCCAAGTCCTACTCCAACACTCTAACCCCTGCTTTATACTGGCTGACGCCACACTTGGGGGGCCCTATATTTATTTATTTTTCAGCCCAGCAGTCCATGTGGTCTGGGCAGCTGCCATCTAAATTGCACACAATGTTTCAGAGCAATGCTGTTTTGTGGGGGCATTGTGGAAAATTAAAAGGCAGGCTAGATCCAGCTTGCTGCAACCGTCAAATAAATCCTGGCGAACTTTGCTGATAGACAAGGGGACTCGCCAGAGCACACCTTGCCCCGGGCTGTAGAAAACCTAGGTCTGTTTGGGTACAACACTATTTGGAAAAATTATCTAGGCAGTGCATCTGATCCAGCAAATGCTACACATTTGCTCTTTCCTACTCCCACATTCTCCTCTTTTGACTTTATGTGAGAGGAGTCTGAGGTCTGCACTTGAAAGAGGATCCCCAGGAGAAATTTCTGTTTAGCTTTTGCACCATGTGTAAGTGGCATTGCTGTTATCAGGCAGAAAAAATACTTTAATGGTCGATAATCCTGTACTCCATTTGGAGCAAATGGTTGAAAACCAAAATATTTTTAAGGGGAGAGAGAGCATGCTCAGACTAATTACTGACTTCCAGTCTACTTATCTGAATGTTATGCAGTCAGGGCGATAGCATTTAACTTAGCATGCAGAATCCTCCAGCATACTGCCTTTATGCTGTGATGTCAATC